ACCCATTGGCTTTTAAATCCTTGGAGGCGATGACTAGCTCAATATTATGACAAGTTTATGGTCCTGATTGTTTTCCATTTTTACATGTCAAAGGCATACTTTATGACAATTGTTTTAATGTAAAAGATTTGAAAGTGCCAGCATCTATTAGTAGACTTGTTATACAACAGCCCCAAACATATTTGGACACTTCCAGATATTTTTGTTTTTGTGGTAAAATGGTTTTGTGGATTTCGTCAGATAACAAGGACAGATATGGGGAAAGTTTTACATTGGGAACTTCTATTTAAACCTTAATGGGTAGACACACAATAGATTTTTATTACAAGCAAGCAGATCACTATATTTTCTATTGTAACCCATTGGCTTTTAAGTCCTTGGAGGCGATGACTAGCTCAATATTATGACAACAGATCCACTCTGTTTTTTTTTTACAAGTTTATGGTCCTGATTGTTTTCCATTTTTACATGTCAAAGGCATACTTTATGACAATTGTTTTAATGTAAAAGATTTGAAAGTGCCAGCATCTATTAGTAGACTTGTTATACAACAGCCCCAAACATATTTGGACACTTCCAGATATTTTTGGGACCACTGTAGGTTTGGTTCTCCATATTGTTTTGACATGTCTTCAGTCTTGTTTCATGACATTGGAAAATATATGACTAAATATATAAATGCACAAGTACTGTTCTGTAAGACTTTTGTTTTTAATCGGCATTTATGTTACAGCTTAAATTGTATTTAAATTAAAAGATTGACTTTTCACAAACCCTCAGAGACCATTGCTGTTCATTTTAATTCTTCGCTCGTTTTAGTGATACAAACGTTGACAAAAGTCTGCAGAAATGCTACGTTTTAAGCCTGAAATAGTTTTTTGCTATTCTGATGTAATATTCAATATAGTTGTTTTGAAACATCTGAATATGTCTCGCAGTGGGACTTTAACTCAATTTAAACAAATGTTATTGTTCAGATTGAGTTGCTTTATTCTAGACTAAATCTCTGCCTTGTTTTTGCTTTGTTTTTATTTTGTGCCCTGAAAAGTGAGTTCATTGCTGATCTAACCCTTCAAATGATTTTCATGGGTTGGAACCCTATGTATTCAGGTTTACTAGTAATAATTTCTTTGACTTGAATAAAAATAATTTCACTTTTAGCTTAACTGGCAACACATTTTTACAGTATAGTTGACTTGGGTAACTATGCAGTGCAGTGTGGAAACGGTATGACCCCATAAAAGGTGGAACTGCACTGGACTTTGAATCGATCGTTATGAAAGTGTGATTATGTGTAAAGCTCATTGGCTTGTTTTTATACGAACTGGAGACTCAAAAACTGTTCAAGGATAGAGCATGTTTGCTTTCTTTGCCGCTGCTTATCTGCTGTGTTTGTGTTGGGAAAGGACATGATTTCAAACGTCACATTTTAGATTTATTTATAGTATTGTCGGGCATATGTGATGTTTTACAGTTAGTTAGCAGTTAAACCAAATGACTATCAAATCTGTGACGGACTGCAATGTAATGTCAAATGGCAGGGTTATCATTTACTAAACTAAAAGAAATAAATGTTAACTGAAATAAAATATATTATTAAAATAATATGATTTTAATATTATACATTTTAAATCATTGCTTACCAAAGAAACAGTTCTCATTTTCATTTAGTTCAACATTAAGCAAATAACAAAAACACACAACAAAATTACTAAAAGTGTAACATTTAAAACCTACAATAGTATCTAAATAATACTGAAATAGCACTGCTTGCTTGAAGAAAATCTCGTTGGGTTCGCTCTGAGATTCGTAAAGGTCTCTCTTTGCTGTAATGCTAAACTTTGTCCAGCAGATGGAAATATTCTACCAACATATTGTTATCGGATGATTTAGTAAACACAAGTTGGTAAGCGGTGGAATTAAATGCTAAACAAAAAGTAATGTTCAGTAAATGGCATGATTGTCATTACACCTCAAGGAACTGGACAGAATTTATAAAGTCAGGATCTATAGCCTACCTATTTTTGCAAAATACCAACATCGCATTGGGGCAATAGTTTTAGATTTAAAACAACATTTCTAACATTGTAGTGCATTATGGAACCTGTACAACCCACAAAGAACGTTGTGTGTAATTCTACAGACATACTTTCCTATAGAATTATCGAAAATATAGCCTATGTTGTAACAGAATCGAATTTGCAGCCTCAGCGTAATTGGCCAAATCATTGGTCAGATGTGGAACACGTGATTAATTGATTTCAGCAAGCAATAAATAAACAAACAAACACAACTAATGATAAAAGAATAATTATTAGCCTAATAATATTTACCTAAGATCAGTCATACAAAAGTCATACAGTCATACAATAGGCTATATATATATATCAGGGCCGTCCTTAGCTGACGCGGGGCCCCTCGGTCCTTTCGCCGCGGGGCCCCCTCAAGCGCGGGGCCCGGTGCGACCACACCAGTTGCACCCCCCTAAGGACGGCACTGATATATATATATATATATATATAGTTCTTGCAAGACATAGGCCTATAGGCTACTTCTTGTATTTAACAGATTTTCGGGTGAACACTTCCTGCCTGAAATCTACATGTTATTTGAAGGCTTCCATGTGAATTCTCCTTGTTAGACTATCATTAATGACTCACTGCTGTTTGACTCCTCAAAAGCCTTAAGACACGTTTCTAATATTCTGCTTCCTCCATTAGCGTCACCCATTAAGACTATTGTTATCCAATTATAGAGGTGTTAATGAACGATGCGCCGCTGCTTTGGCATGAGAAGCGCTGGGACAGCAGGAGGATGTTCAGATGCGTGTTCGCCAATACACCACCATCTCAAGACGCTGCAGAGATCACTGAGAAGAAAAGCGTGCCGAACACCAGATAGACACGTTTGCAAGTTCGCAAGACATTGTGTTTCATTTTTGATCGTGCACCCACAGGCATTTGAATTATTAGAGGAACATTTGCAGTGAAAAATAGTCGCAAACAGTCTCATATAAGCTATCATAACATTAAGAACAACTGGCAAATCAAGAATCGAATGGATTCTGTGAATAATTTTAGTTATAGATAGGCTAATAACTCTTTTAGATAGGCATTTGGTGCCACAAGGGTTGTGGGGACATCCCATAAAGTTGCATTTTGGGGGTCAGGTCGCTCCTAATCCTGTCGACCTCCCGCCAATTGATCAATTACATCTCCATTCATTAGCCATTAGGAAATGCATTGACATTGTGCTGTTCCTGTCTGCGCCTAACAACAGATGTGTATTCACACAGCCTGCTACAGTCGCGCATCGCTGTTGCTGCTTCTTCACGGGTCATTTCAAGCCAAGAAGAGTTTGTTCACATTGATATTTTGTGGGGCAAAAAGTCTTCCAAATTCGAATCCGCGCTTGTGCACGTTTGACAACGATATAAACTCGCAAATAATGTCGTTTTTTTTTTTAAACAAAATAAGCAGAAAATAAAAATAAAACGAATATAATAGCCTATAATAATAATAATACTAGTCAAGACAAGTAGGCTACTTAATTAAAACGAAAATAAAATATTCTGAAAGGCAGTTTTGTCGCTTTATATTTGAATCATATTCTGCTCAACAATCAAATCGGTGTATTAACTCGCAAATAATGTCGTTTTTTTAAAAACAAAATAAGCAGGAAATAAAAATAAAACGAATATAATAGCCTATAATAATAATAATACTAGTCAAGACAAGTAGGCTACTTAATTAAAACGAAAATAAAATATTCGGAAAGGCAGTTTGTCGCTTTATATTTGAATCATATTCTGCTCAACAGTCAATTCGGTGTATTTTGATTCTGTTGCATTTTGCCTTTTAGTTTTTCAACGCACATGCCCTCAGGTTTGAGAAAAGACGGCATGAGATCATCTTTTTAAATCTCGAGAATTAATCACCGTCCCTCGCTCACTGCGACCGAGCTGAAAGTGATAGCCGAGGGGATTTAACAACTTTTAAAACTGGCACCTCAGATTACTGAGTCAAGACAAGTAGGCTACTTAATTAAAACGAAAATAAAATATTCTGAAAGGCAGTTTTGTCGCTTTATATTTGAATCATATTCTGCTCAACAATCAAATCGGTGTATTTTGATGCATTTTGCCTTTTAGTTTTTCAACGCACATGCCCTCAGGTTTGAGAAAAGACGGCATGAGATCATCTTTTTAAATCTCGAGAATTAATCACCGTCCCTCGCTCACTGCGACCGAGCTGAAAGTGATAGCCGAGGGGATTTAACAACTTTTAAAACTGGCACCTCAGATTACTGATGTGGACCCCTGCCGTGATGAGTTTAAGCCCTGATGAGTTTATACCACCCTGAACACATCACTGATGACAGAAGAAGCATTAAATGATTCACTGATAACGACAAATCAAAAGCAAGAATATTCGCATGTCATCGGTCATGAAAGAACCTTACACGAGAATACAGCCAAAGAACGTGTAGGCTACCTGTATCTATCTATCTATCTATCTATCTATCTAGACGTCTATTATTAGACTATATAACGCCAAATTACACAGAAGCGCTTCTGAAGTGGCTTTTATAGGAGTCTTACATCTGTTTAATGCTGCTCAGAGGTGGCTCAAACGCATTTAATGCACCTTTTAGCAGCCTACGTTGATAATAGGGGCTGAGGTGGGACAGAGCAGGCATAATTTAATCTAGCTTTTATGCGGCTTTGTATTTTTACGAGAATTTTGAGCAGGCACAGAGCAGCCTTACTTGTAATGACGCCCATCCTTCTGTAAGTTAGCCTACAGCAGAGGCTCTTCTCCATTTCATTCAATTCCATTCATTTTCACTGTAGGCCTGAAGTTGTCTGGGATGACAATTGAGATGGACGCGTCGGCCGGCCAATATACAGAACAGCAGGGGGCAAGAGAGACCTTTAGGGACGTCTTCCTGAGTCCCGGGGCCTGTTGGGCGGTCCCTCACCTGCTCGTGTTTAAAGCCTGAGGTGAGGCTTTCCTGCATTACTCACCACAGAGACCTGACGCCGTCTCCACGACAGCTCCACTTTGGACTTCTCAGGATTACTTGAAAATGTTTACGGGTCCTGCCACGCACAAAAACTGAGTAAACGAAGTTAACTAATCACGAGAAAACAACTCATTGAGCCACAGGACTGAATACAACAACTAACTAACTGTTTAAAACGGTTTATTACAGTTCATGCTGTAAAATTACGTGGAATTACAAAGTGTGTTGTCTTGTGGGACGGTTTTTTTTTTATTTATTTTTTTATTTTATTTTTTTTAAGAAAACCTCAAAAAAAAAAAGTCAAGACCATTTCAATTTAGTGTCGTGTCAGTATCGCGCTTCTTACGAGTTGCAACTTTATTTGGGGATGTTGAGCTCCGTGAAGATGGAATCTCATGAAATTCCGGAATGGAATGCTTTCTACAGTGAGGCAAGTGAGGTACGTTCGAGAAAATCTTCAGGAGTCTTTTATTTAGATAATAAAATACATATGTTGATAGATAGATAGATAGATAGATAGATAGAAAAATAAAATACGAAATAACATTTAATATTACATTTAAATGTTTGGACAATAAAATGATGCATTGTTTTAATATTTGCATGTTAGTATTACTTTATTAATAGAACATATTTTATTTAATTGTCGACATTTAGCTTTCGATTACATTTTGATTTTAATTTCACGTTACAGTCTCGTGTTCCCATTTTACATTTAAGTAGATCCAGCCGAAAACTTTCTTTGTGAATTCTGTGAAACATAATAATTCATTCATTAATTCAATTCATATATACATTTACTGTTAATTATGTGCACAGCCACTTTGTGACCGCAAACACTAGGTGAGATTTGAATAATTTTTTTTATTTGTTTAATTCTATTTTTGAGATTCATTCTAATAATTCTGAGGAGTTTTAAAAACACAGACTCATTGTGTCAGTTTAACTAATAGTTAGTTTTATATGTAAAACGAAATGAAGTGCAAAATTATATATATAATTTACTTAGAATATAACAAAGTTAGAATGTATTGTAGTTTGGCATTAACTTTATAATATAGAAGCCTAGGCAAAATGCCTTATATTATAATTTTGTGTGCATATGTTTATAAACTATAACATTTTGTTTTATATTTACTAATTTGTTTGTTGATGGCAAACATTAATGTCCTGTGTTTTTTCTTTTAGATGTATTCCTCTCCGAGCGCCATGAACTCAGTGAGCAGCTTGAACAGCTACATAAATCTGAACTCGGCCTGTTCCACATCCAGCATGAATATGGGCTATCCCAGCGCAGGTCTCAACAGCAGCCCATTGAGCAGCATGGGTGGAGGCCCCAACCACATGAGCTTGTCCCCTGTCGGCTCCTCTCTGAACCACAGTTCTCTGACCCAGCTGGGCTCTTCTGCCTCCTCCCTGGGTCCCCTCTCGCATTACCAAAGCATGGGTCAGCCAATGTCCCAGATCAGCTACCCCTCTCCTACCTCTCTCAACCGGACTAAGGAGATGCCAAAGCCGTACCGTCGCTCGCTGACCCACGCCAAGCCACCGTACTCCTACATATCCCTCATCACGATGGCCATCCAACAGTCCAACAGCAAGATGCTGACGCTCAATGAAATCTACCAGTGGATCATGGATCTGTTCCCGTACTACCGCGAGAACCAGCAACGCTGGCAGAATTCCATCCGACACTCTCTGTCCTTCAACGACTGCTTCGTCAAAGTGGCGCGTTCCCCCGACAAGCCCGGCAAGGGCTCCTACTGGGCACTTCATCCCAATTCCGGGAACATGTTTGAGAACGGCTGCTATCTGCGTCGCCAGAAGCGCTTCAAGCTCGAGGATAAATCTGGCAAAAAGAGCTCGGCGAAGTCTCAGGAGGGCGGCAGCAGCGCCAAGGGCGGCCACAGCGGTGAGGGGATTGAAGAGGAGCACAGTCCCGCCACCGGCTCCGAAGGTGCCGACTCTGCCCATTCCGACAGCTCCCATGCCTCGGAGGAGCAACAGAGGAGCCTGGTGCATATGGATTGCCCGTCTCAGGCCCCCAACCTTTCGCACAGCTCGCCAGTGCCAATTCCATCTGCAGTGTCCTCCTCCATGCCCCCGTCCGACTCGCACCTGCACTCTCAGGGAATGGGCGGCAGCCCTCACCTGTTGGCCAGCCCGATGCAGCACCTGGATCTGCAGAACGACCCACTGAAGTCCATGGACCCCCACTACAACTTCAACCATCCATTCTCCATCACCAACCTCATGTCCAACGAGCAGAAGATGGACCTCAAGTCGTACCAGGACCAGGTGATGGCTTACAACAGCTACACCACAACTTCTCCAGTGGCCACCAAACAGATCTATGACAGTGCAGGTCCGTCCGCCATTGACTCTGGTGCGTACTACCAGACCCTCTACAGCAGGTCTGTCCTCAATGCCTCCTAATGTGTTTACAAGCCATTTGAACTGTACAGACTCTTAATGGCGGGACTCTTACATCTTCAACACAGAGCTTGCTTTGCCATTAATAACTAAGCTTCGGTTCCTGCACTCTTAAAAATAAAGGGGGTTTTCACAGTGATGCCACAGAAGAACCATTTCTGGTTCCTCAAAGAACCTTTCAGTGAACAGTTCCAAGAAGAACCAATGGAGAATCATGAGAGTTTCCATGGATGATTGGTTGACTGCAGCCTCAAGGTTCTTCACGGATCCATGCCAATAAATAACCTTTATTTTTAAGAATGTGCTGAGAAAAGTGCTTTTACCAGAACCAAGGATCGAGTTCCAATGCTTTTTTTTCCCCCAGAAACGAATTTAATTAACGTATATTCAGGAACTAAAGGTTTTGGTTTCGGATGTAACACAGAAGATGTATACAAATGATGCCACGTGTATATACTGTTTTGGGGAAGCAGGAGTCAGGCATTTATTTATGAAGGGAAGAATTTAATATATCTCGCATGATTTTGTGTTGTGAAGTTACGTTAACAATGTGATAATAAGAGGACGTGAGCGTGATTGCGGAAGCGTTTGAGTTCAGGTTACTGCTCTGAGCAGGTGTTACTGTGTTACAGGGAAACTCTCCTGTTTTGTGTTACAGCATAACGCATGTTCAGTTGAAGTGTACGGAGAGTGTGTATCATTATGCTTGTCCCTTAGACGAGCTGAAGAAATGACTTTTTTACACTTGGCCATGAAGTCAATTTGTATATTCTGAAGAGTTTTGTGTTAAGTATATATAGAGTTAAAAGTTTGACAAAGATGGATAAAACTGTGGTAAATCCAAATATTTGTTTTACAGACTTCCCTTTCTAGAAATACTGGCAATAACATTCATGAAAAAGGTTGAAGATGTTTCGCTGTTATTCTAGTGTGCCTCAAGGTCTGCTCAGCTCAGCTGAAGCTGTTAGTAAGATCAGCAGACAATGCACTATAAGGGCCATTTCCATACAATACTTGCACTAGTGACCTCTCTGCTCTTCACTGCTGGGGAGGGGTGAGATCGTTTTGTTACAACAATGCTTTGTAACTACCTTTTGATCAGAAAATCATACAGACCTTATTGAATTTGCCATGATGTATTTTTGTAAGATCTCGTCATTTAAAAATCTCCCTCTGAGATTTCAAAGCAGTTTTAATAATAAAAACTTTGTCTCAAGCCATCATGTCATAAATACATTTCTTGCAAGTCTTTTTGAAATTTGTAAGAAAGCAGGTCAGAATTGATGTTCTTGTACAGTTTCGTTTATTTAAACCCAGCTTTTTGGCCTTTGGGCTTAGAAGATAAGTGTCTTAATATATATATATATTGCTTTATTTGGTTAATTGTTTCATGGTATGTTCTTAAAGTTTGTTATGTTCTTTTCATATTAAAAAAAACCTCACATATTCTTTGGAGTTCTTTTCATTATTACATATTCTTAAAGTAAAAATGTGACTATTGAAAACGTTAAAATGTTTTAATAATTATATAATGCATTGATAAATATAAGCTAAAACAATAGCAGTTATTTTTTAGAACAACAACTGACTCTTAGACGTGAACAGTTTTATAGGTTTTGTGTAAATTGTTGTAGTTTGTATGATGCCTTAAAATAGCACAATAAATCAAATCAAGTGCAAACAGGACATTAAAGAATGAGCAAAATTGTATCTTATTTGCCCCTAAGGTTCATATAGTACCCTAAGGAATTGATATGCACATTTTAGTGATAGATAAGGAACAAAGTTGTCCGTTTTCTGTTGTTCCCCTGCACATTTTTTTTTGTAGAGTGCAGAAATAATCAATATAAGCAGTTCTGCTCATTGCACAACTAGAGAATAGTATAGAATTATAAGATGTGGACATATCATTTAGCCCATTTGAGACCAGTTGCCCCATTGTGAAATTTGAGATCAACATGATTGCATAAACGTGTGGAGTTAATGCAGCTTGATTGTTATGCTGATGATATCATTTGTAATGCAAAATGTTGTATTAAGTTAGAAAACAGAACCTTGTTCCCTAGTGGAGCCCACTGTATGTCGAAATAAAACAATGCACAATATGAAGAGTGACATTTCGAAGACCCTTACTGTAAAATGAGCGTGAGCAATATAATAACCACATTGCAGACATGTTCCATCTGTCAGGATAATAACCCTATCATGTTTTATTGTCCCAAGAGCATCCGGCAATGAATCATTTATACCTCAAGAACCAAAAAAGTTCTCAGAATCATTTTTAAATATGCATTCTATTGTGTTCTTTCTGTTTTGGTGTGAAAAATCCCACCCTGTCTCTTTTCGTCTCGTTACTTCTCTCTTGTGAGATTGATGGCGGCAGAACTCTGAAGCCACGGTTCAGCTCAGTGTTTTTCGCTTTATCACAGAGAGCTGTGAAGCCATTCTCTCTTGTCACGTCACTCTGGAGAGCTTTTTCAAAGGCAGAGCGGATCGCATGCAAAAGCGAGGGAAGGATGAAAGATAGACAGGGCTGGGGAAAGAGAGAGAATGTAAAGTAGATTCTGCCCTGGGTCTCCTGGTGGGAATCTATAGTGGCTATTTCTTCATGAGAAACACAAAGGGACCTTGCTGCTAGGGCTCTATAGCCTGATAAGATACGCCAATACGCCACTGATATGGTTTCCATGGTGACACAATGGCAAATTAAGAACAAGGAACAGAGGGCCCTTCCCATCATGACTAAACTGGAACGTACTTTTTCCTTTGTGACCTTTGTTTCAGTCTTAAAAGGACAGTTCATTTAAAAATACATACTCTAATGTTGGTCCAAACCTGTATGACTTTCTTTCTTCTGCACAACTGTTTTCGTCTGTTTCTTGAAAGTCAATAGAGTCCCAAACAACATTTGGGACATTTTCTAAATATGTTCCTTTGGGTTCCACGGATGAAATAAAAAGTCATACAGGTTTGGAACGACATGAGGGTGAGTAAATTATGACAGAACTTTCATTTTAGGTGAACTGTCCCTTTAAAAGCAATGTCAAAAATAGAAAGCCTTTTAGAAAAAGAAGTCCACTTTATTATACTCTTTATTTTGAGTACTTAAAAGAATATACTTAAGTGTGAACTGAATGTAATGTCTTTGGAAACTTAATTGCATGTTATTTACAATAAATGAAAATGTATAATAGTTCAAATGTATATTAAATGCAATTAGTTTAACTTGAGACTGCTTTTTTTCACCCACTTAAGTGCATCTTTACATGTAATTTTATAATTATGTCTATTGTGTTTTAAATATGGTTAAAGTCTGCTGCTAAATGTACTGACAAGCATTTATGGTAAACTGAAATATACTTTAATGTCACTTTTGTTGAAAATTCGTATGCATGACATACAAGTTTCAATATTTAAATTAGTTTGTAATTGCACATTTATAATGATGAAGATGCAATTTAGAACATGTAAAATGTATTAACTTTAAATGTAATATTGAATAACACACCACAGTTAAAATTATCATCTTTACATGTGCTTTAGTATGTTAGTCAACACATCAAAATAAGTGTACTCCTTTAAAGCCTGACAAAAGATTATTAAAACATGATTTAAAAAACACTTTAAAGTAAAACCATTAATTTGACATTATTACAAAGTGCACTTTTTAAAAGTGAAAGTGTCTCTTTTTAAGTGCACTAAGGTGGCCTTTTATTTAATTAATATATAATCTGAAATTACAGATTTTTAAAAAATATACATCTATGATTTGAATCACACTCCAAGTGCACATTCGATACTATTAAGTGCAGTTCTTTTTCACAAGCAAGATTAATGATCACAACAATATTAGCCCTAATAGTGTCATACAACAAACCACTATGTGTTTTCATTTGCACCAGTGTTTTTAAAGGGGTCATATGATGCTGCTAAAAAGAACATTATTGTATTTGGTGCAATGAAATGTGTTTATGCGGTTTAAAGTTAAAAAAACCCCATTATTTTCCACATACTGTACATTATTGTATTATGCCCCGCCTTTCTGAAACGCGTTGATTTTTACAAAGCTCATCGGTCTGAAAAGCGAGGTGTGCTCTGATTGGCCAGCTATCCAGTGCGTTGTGATTGGCCAAATACCTCAAGCGTATGACGGAAATATTACACCCCTTACCATAATGTGATGCCATGTCCAGGAGCGATGAGACAAAAACATTAAAACCCATTATAAACGAGCAACAGGTGCTACACAGTACTTGAGGAAAACCATGGCACTTGTGGCGTCTGTCTTTTACTGGACACTGTGAAGGTGAGTAATAACTTCCGTTCTTACAGTATTAATCCGGGCTGTTATGAGCCATATTCTGCTGATAGGACACCAGATGCTGATAAGAGACATTAATGTATAAAATCACTTTCATCTCTATTGCTTCCTTAGTCTTGCCAAGTTCCTGATTAACTCTATCCTGTTTGCCACTTTTTTTTTCAAGTGAATCGAGAATGTGCAAAACAGTTAACCTTCATGTTGTGTTCTGGTTTCAAAATATGTTCTTTTGGGTTCCATAGATGAAATGCAGGTTTGTACACGTCATACAGGTTTGGAACAACATGAGGGTGAGTAAATTATGACAGAATTTTCATTTTGGGTGAACTGTCCCTTTAAAAAAATTTTTTTTTGTTTTTTTTTTCGCATTATTGACACATTATTTTCCTGTTTAACAACGTAAAGCTGCTTTACAATCTGTACTGTATAAAGCGCTATATGAATAAAGATGACTTGACTGGTCATTTTACATTTATCCAGAAAATGCTAGTTAATGTTATTGCATTGAACTAAAACATATGGGTATAACATCTTTCCCCAAAAAAAGAATAATTTTTGTACCTTGTCACACTAGTGGTGTTCCTAGTCAAAAATGACCAGGCTACCAAAAAATTGCTTATAAATTTTTCATTATGCTCTAAAAATATTTAACCTTGGTGTTCCAGGTAAAAAAAAAAAATGACGACCTTTTAAACATTGCTTGTACGTGACTCATTTTATGACAGAATTTTCATTTTGGGTGAACTGTCCCTTTAAAAAAAAATTTTTTTGTTTTTTTTTCGCATTATTGACACATTATTTTCCTGTTTAACAACGTAAAGCTGCTTTACAATCTGTACTGTATAAAGCGCTATATGAATAAAGATGACTTGACTGGTCATTTTACATTTATCCAGAAAATGCTAGTTAATGTTATTGCATTGAACTAAAACATATGGGTATAACATCTTTCCCCAAAAAAAGAATAATTTTTGTACCTTGTCACACTAGTGGTGTTCCTAGTCAAAAATGACCAGGCTACCAAAAAATTGCTTATAAATTTTTCATTATGCTCTAAAAATATTTAACCTT